TCTCACCCCACCACTGATAGGATTATATTCAACAACCCGATCATGGAGGATGAGGCAGTACGCTGATGTGTTGGCTGTGAAAGGCCAAGAAGATTCAAATTCCAGTCGAATATCTACTGGACCAGTTTTCAAATACTCATTCTGCTTTGAACAATCAATCACAATTAGTGGGGCATTGGTTATAAATTTTTCTCTACTCAATAACAGCTCAGATTCTTTACCATGATAAGTATCTTGGAAGTTCACATACATATTGTATAGTGTTGAATACTGATTATGAGAAATATCCAAATTTAAGTTTCCATATGGATAGCTTTGCGAATTCAGGAAAAGCTTTATATCTCGGAGATTGCAATGATCGAAGCCACTGGCATTAGCTGTCGAGATGTTCCTATGGTTGGTCTGGAAACCAAGAATGATGTATCGTGGTTTCTCTAGCTGAGTCGATGTCTTTACAACCCAAACATGCTTTGAGGTTGTAGGGAGAAATGGGTACTCATACAATTCCCATATACGAAAACCCATAGCAATCGGTGTGTCTTTCGCAATGAAATTGAGCAGCTTCACTTTGCGCTCATCAGACACTTTCACATAAGGAATTAACCATTCAATCTTTTGAAGGTTAATCTTCCATTTCTCCTCAGGATTTTCCGGATTGATTGGTCTTTGGAGTATTGCATTGATATCTGTTTTCGATCTCGTGATAATGAGCTCATGCTTTGCATTCACAACGATCTTCTGATAATCTTCAGCAAAGCCAAGTAGGAGACTGAGTGGTATGGAGATATCGAAATATCCTGCACTATCAGTTATTTTCTCTTCACTATCCATACTATCATTCTTAAGCCAACCAGCATTCTCCAGTAGAAACCATTGGTTAGAGCTCTGAGAAACATAGTTCTTCATAAGACTCGTTAAACCCACAATTTTCGCTTGATCAATCTCTACTCCATTGAGTTCATATCGAATTTCCTCAAATAAATGACAGATGGCGTTATTCACAAGTCTCGTTCTCTGCGTTGGTGTTGTTCCGTTGTCAGTAGTCAATCGTCCATAAATATGTAGATAACTCTTACTAGGTAATAAACATAAATCCTGATGTTGTACAGTGATTGATATCTCATCATTATTCGCGTAGGTTGATGAAGCAAACGGTTGATGTGTATGCATCTCATAGTGAGAAACCGACTCATCGAAGATGATAGAATTTTGAATTTTCAGGATATCTTCCATAATATATTATTTTTTCTTTTATCTATGATAGGATTCACACTCTAGGGCTCAAGTTCAGACTCTTGAGGAACTGGATACTCTCACGTGTTAACAGCTTGTTAGCTTTTTGGCGACTGGTTGTTTCTTGGGTAGATGACTCCTTTTTATAATTCTTCCCAATCTTCGTCTGGAAAACGATACCCATTAGACGCGTTTGATGTGAAGCCTTATTGTTATGATTTCTCCTTGGAAGTTTAACAATTCACCGTCTTGATCCACCAATTTCAGCTGGAGATGATCTATTGCTTGGATGACGATTGGAAGGTAAATGAGATTTTTCGGGACTTCAACGATCTTATATCCTGGGGGTACGGTGGGGAAGAATTCATGGATGATATGCACTTTCTTTCCATTAACATAAGCACCTCCAGTGATGTTAGATTCCACATACATAGAATTAACCTTGAGAATACTAACTGGCATATCAGATATGTGAGTTTTCCCAGGTGATAAAATTTTATTATCAAATCCTAGTAATCTACCAATTGAATCAGAGGGTTTGAAATTAATTGTATGATCACTCTTGATTTCACTACATAAAGTATTGTTATTGCCCTGGCGAGTGAGGTTCCATGGTACATCCATGTTTTAGCATGGATGTACCTAATTAATACCCATTAATAGGTTATTTTGTATAATTAGGAGAAATTATTGATGGTGTGCTGTGTGGTAAAGAAGTTCAGATGGGAGAATGCCGCGAGATGGCGCCAGTGTTAAATTATCGAGTCGGCGGGAAACTGTCAGCAGTCGCACAGATATTTTTTATTCTATTTCACTTATGAATATTAGATAGGTTTGGGGGGGCAGGGGGGTTGATTTGGAATATTAGCACCAACCCATTTTGCCCCATTTGGCGAATTTCGCAATACATTATTGTGGGGGGAGGGGGGGAGTCAAGCGGGAAATAGCTCACAGACCCATTTCGCCCCATTTGTTATTTATTTTCTGAATGAGCAAGTCGGAAAACGATAAACAAACCCGTTTTGCCCCATAATTTTCCCAATGAGCGAGAGAGAGCGGCAGGGGCGGGAGTCAATTCGGGAAATTGCTCACGAACCCATTCTGCCCCTTCTGTTGAATTTTGAAATCGATTTTTGGTTTAATTCGGTTTAATTCGGTTTAATTCGGGCGAAGGGGGGGGAGTGAACTCGGGAAATGATAAACAANAGGGGGGTTGATTTGGAATATTAGCACCAACCCATTTTGCCCCATTTGGCGAATTTCGCAATACATTATTGTGGGGGGAGGGGGGGAGTCAAGCGGGAAATAGCTCACAGACCCATTTCGCCCCATTTGTTATTTATTTTCTGAATGAGCAAGTCGGAAAACGATAAACAAACCCGTTTTGCCCCATAATTTTCCCAATGAGCGAGAGAGAGCGGCAGGGGCGGGAGTCAATTCGGGAAATTGCTCACGAACCCATTCTGCCCCTTCTGTTGAATTTTGAAATCGATTTTTGGTTTAATTCGGTTTAATTCGGTTTAATTCGGGCGAAGGGGGGGGAGTGAACTCGGGAAATGATAAACAAACCCATTCCGCCCTACGGTTTCCATAATCAGGGGCAGGGGGGGGGGGGGGGGTCAATTTGGGAAATACCTAACAGGCCCAATTTGCCCCATTTGTTGTTTTTTTTTTTATGAGCGAGAGGGGGGGAGGGGTGTCAACACGGAAAATTGCTCGCGAACCCATTCTGCCCTTTCTGTTTAATTTTGAAATCCATTATTGTGGGTTTCATGGGGGGGAGGAGGGTGGTGTGAACTTGGGAAATGACAAACAAACCCATTTTGCCCCACTGTTTTCCTAATGAGCGTGAGGGGGAGAGGGGGAAGTGAATTTGGCAAATAGCAAATAGACCCATTTTTATTTTTTTTCTTATGAGCGACGGGACGGATGTCAAGTCGGAAAACGATAAACAAATCCATTTTGCCCCATTCTTCTTTCAATGAGTGCGAACGGAAGGAGGGGGGTGTCAACGCGGGGGCTGACAAACAAACCCATTTTGCCCCATTATTTTCTTAATGATGGAGAGGGGGGAGAGTCAATTTGGGAAATAGCAAACAGACCCATTTTGCCCCATTTATATTTTTGCTTCCGAATGGAAGCTTTGTAATCGGTCGATTTTTCGATTCGCTAATTTTGCTTGGAAATGATGTAGAATGGTCTGAAACGTAAAAATACGAAGTTTGAGGACCATGTATGTACGTGTGTCCGAAAGTGTGGGTCGATTTTTTCGAAAATTTTTATAAATAACGACAAATAAAGGACAAAAGTTGAAGCTAAAAATCTGAAATTTTGTCACATAGTTGGTATTACTTTGGAGCATTTCTGGGCGCAGTTTCAGCTCAATCGGCCCAGTAGTTTTGGAGATACAGCAATTTCTCAAAAATCTTTTTTGCTCAATATCTCAAAAACTACATGACCGAATTCAATTTTTTTGATGCCAAAATCTTCCTTGCGACAATATCTGTCGAATCAAATCATAATATTGCTATGAAACCATGGGCAACCGAATAATAATTGGCATTTTTCATTTTTATGAAAAAATCGTTGTAAGCACGATAGCGCCTTGAAAACTCAAGATAGAAAGTTGAAATTTGGTACGACTGTAGTTTTTATGATATTACAGAATGGGATTGTGGATGAGCTGAATCGGACAAGTAGTTTAGGAGATATTCAACTTTTTGTGAAAAACTGTAATGCTCATTATCTCCAAAACTACTGGTCCGATTGACTTTTTTTTTTTTAAAAATATTCGTCATGGTATCTTCTATCAAGATCAATCAAAATATGCATAGCCGCCCATACAAAGTTTTCAAGATATCACCGTTTTTCTAGTTTTGTAAATTAAAATCCAATGTGGGCTCTATAATAAGCGTTAAACATGGACTAAACATCTGAGATTCTGGCTACTATTTTGCATGGTTGGCCTACATTCGTGTATAAAATTTTGTGCCAATCGATTCAGTACATCCTGGCATAGAGTGATTCGTCCGAAACGCTTTTTTTTCTTAAAAATCACAAATTATCATTTTATCAATGTTTTCCATCTCTACATGACTTCAAAAGTCATATAATACAAATCCATGTTTTTTTTTACTCCATATAATCTAATATTTGATGGAAATCAAGTTTCATAAACTTGATTTTTTGAATTTACAAGACCATTCTCGTTAATTATAATATTATTCAATAAATACCTGATATTCATCCAAAATGCTGTACCACGTAGATTAAACAGAGTGAGCTTAACGGATTCAGTATTTGCTGCAGACGATCTGTGTGAGTTTGAGTGGGAGTTACATGCACGTCAGCAAATAAATCTTTATGGGCAAATAAAAATACAGTCTAAGGAAATAATTGAGTCGGAATAAGATAAAAATCATCAAGATATTTTAATTATTAGGAGTACTAATATGAATTTAATTATTAAATTCATCATGATGTAAGAGAAAATATTACAAATTAAAATATATTAAAAAGTTGAAAATGACAAATTTTTGTTTGAAACATCATACGTAATTACTAGGATCACGAATCTATTGATTAAATGATGACGTATGTTTCTGACAATTTATCGGGACACAGAGGAGAAAAAAAGTTGAGAATACAGGCGTCGCTATTTGGATTACTCATAATTTATGAAAACCATGCGAAATACTGTAAAAGAATGATGTTTTCTTATGAAATTTGAAGATCATATGAATAAATGATGGAATGGATTTTTTCGCGAACACTGCATTTTTATTGGACTAGACTCTGACGAGATTGCAATAGTCTTAGCATTTGTTCAATTATTTAGATTCTTCATAATAAGGAAAATTTCAAAGTCGACAATTCTACTACAATGATAAGAGGAATTGGCCCAGAAATTATTGGTGAAACCCATAATGGGTCAGATCCATTTACATTCACCCGTATTTGTCGCACTGAAACTAAGGAGTGAGTAATTGCCACTGATTTTTTATGTGTGGAATTGGAATATCTCCCATTCGGAAGCTTATTACCAATGTAATTGGTAAAGAGGAAAAAAAAAGCATCGAGTAACGGTCACATGACTTCTGTCAAATAGGCTTCTACCCCTGCTTGTTTTTTCTCATGAGCGAGAGGACGGATGTCAAGTCGGGAAACGACAAACAAACCCATTTTGCCCCATTTTTTCCTAATGAGTGCGAGCGGGGGGGGGTCACAACTCGGGAGTTAACAAACAAACCCATTTTGCCCCATTATTTTCTTAATGAGCGAGAGGGGGCGGGGTGGGAGAAGTCAATTTGGGAAATAACAAACAAACCCATTTTACCCCATTATTTTCTTCATGGCCGAGAGGGGGCGGGGGGAAAGAAAGTCAATTTGGGAAATAGCTCACAGATCCATTTTGCCCCATTTGGGGTTTGTTTTCTTAATGAGCGAGAGAGGGGATGTCAAGTCGAGAAACGACAAACGAACCTATTTTGCCCCATTTTTTTCCTAATGAGCGCGAGTGGGGGGAGGAGGAAATTTTCTTTTTTTTTTCTTTTTTTTTCGGGGTTCATGAACGGAAAAATGCACTCTACGCACTAACACACTCCAGATTGATGATATAAGGAGTGTAGTGTCCGACTCGATCAGGCTACGATGGTTGCAACCCATACGGACTAAAAAACCGAACATGACCCTAGTCATCTTTGACCGTTTCCTTCCCCTCGCGGCACCACCGTTAAGTATTACGTCAATTTGGGAAATGGCTCACAAATCCATTCTGACGCACCCGATAACGACTTCCTACTCTCTAAAAAATATAAAAGTAGAAAGTAGAGACTTCGCTCCCCATAAGGGTCAAAAAGTACATGTACTTTCTCTTTTCCCTCCACTATTGGAACAAAGAGAGAGCTGAACTTACTCCTGGGTCCACCAGGAATATC